TCTCTCTCTCTCTCTCTGTGACTATCATAAATAAATAAAAATTAAAAAAAAATGAAGTATCTCACACCTAATTTGAATACAACTTCATATTAGTTCATACGAGATAAATGAGCCCTGCCATCAGCACTATTAGCTTCAAAAAGGAAATTACTAAGTAAGTTCTTGGAATATATCGTTGTTTTTGGAGGGCTTCAGATAGAGGAGTGGTAACCAAAATACCAGCAGCCACTAGATCATCTAACAGGTTTAAAAGAAACCACTTTCATAACTCCTTGGGATTAAAATTTTCACCATTGTGATGTCACATTTGTTTTAAAACAGTATTAAATACCACAAATACTATAAAATGATAACTAATGATTCATACTCTTTGGTGCCAGATAAGTTCAAACACAGAAAATGAAAACAGGAAGTCGGTATCGGATGATTCTACTATGAATGATGCTGCAATTGTTGAGATTTCACTTCTGAGGAGTATCGACATGTTAGGTAACCTCTGGGAATGTCCAGTTACGCAGAGTTTCTACTCTGGGGAACCTACACACACTTGCTCTAAAACTGTCAACAAAATAAATAAATAAATAAATAAATAAAACTGTCAACAAAGGGATTTTGGCATGGGTGATACCAAACAAATTATCTTTTTCAAAAGCTCTAAGGAGGAGCCCCTGGGTGGCTCAGCAGTTGAGTGTCTGCCTTCGGCTCAGGGTGGGATCCTGGGGTCCCAGGATCGAGTCCACGTCGGGCTCCCTGCATGGAGCCTGCTTCTCCCTCTGCCTGTGTCTCTGCCTCTCTTTCTGTGTCTCTCATGAATAAATAAATAAAACCTTTTTTTTTAAAAAAAAAAAAAAAAAAAAAAGCTCTAAGGAGCACACAAACATTACGGGAATTTTGTATAGTATGCAGAAAAAAAACAGAAAACAGAACATTGTCGTCAGACCGTAACATAAAATTAGAAATTAATCACAAAGCCAGTCAAAACTTCCAATCTTGTATGGGTTGAAGAAGGATTTGTGACATTGATAAAATATTTTCAGCTGAATTATATATATGTACATATCAAAAGTTACGAAATGCAGTTCAAGTGCTCATCTGAGGGAAGAGTGAAAATTACACTACGCAATCAGTTCAGAAAGTTGGGAGAATAAGAATAAATTCAAAGAAAGTAGAAAGAAAGATGTGATAAAAAGCCTATGTAAAAATTATTGAATAATTATTATTGAAACAATATTAATGAAAATAAACAATAAAAGCAACAAAACAAAAAGATGGGCATTGGAAAAATGGTCATTTCCAAATTCTGGCCAGATTAATCAAGAAAAGCAAAGCAGCAGCACCTGGCTGGTTCAGTCAGAAGAGCATGCCACTCTTGATCTCAGGGTTGTGAGTTCTAGCCCTATGTTGGATGTAGAGATTACTTTTCAAAAATTAAAAATCCAAGGGCTCCTGGGTGGCTCAGGGAAGCGTCTGCCTTAGGCTCAGGTCATGATCCCAGGATCCTGGGATGGAGCCCTGTATCAGGCTACCTGCTCAGCGAGGAGCCTGCTTTTCCCTCTCCCTCCGCCATTCCCCCTGCCTGTGCTCTCTGGCTCTCCCTCTCTATTAAATAAATAAATAAAATCTTTTTAAAATAATAAAAAAATAAAAATCTTTTAAAAAGAAAATTCAAAAAGCAAAAATAGGTGAAATAAATTGGACAAAGCTTCAGATCAAATAGCATTAGAAGAATAAAATGCTGTATATACATACAAAGGTCTACTATAAAGAGTTTTAAAAAGTTAGATACCACGTACAATCAGGTAAACCTAGGAAAATGAAAACTAGGGAAGTATTCCTAGAGTATGAATCTCGTGTAAATTTTTAGAACATACAAAGCAATACTAATTTTTGGAAATGTAAGAGCACAAAAACATGAATAAGAAAGTTACTCTTCTGGGCAGGAAAAACTGAAATCAGAAAAGGGTACAAAAACGCCATCGAGGGCAGCCCGGGTGGCCCAGGGCGTGATCCTGGGGTCCCGGGATCGAGTCCTGTGTTGGGCTTCCTGCAAGGAGACTGCTTCTCCCTCTGCCTGTGTCTCTGTGCCTCTCTCTCTGTGTGTTTCTCATGAATAAATAAAATCTTAAAAAAAAAAAAAAACGCCATGAGTGTGATATTAGGCTCTGTACTTTGCTTGGAATGTTGTGTAATTTAAAGAAGTTCACACAAAGTACCTAAAATCCTGTTCAGTTCTTACCTCTCAAAGTAGTTTTCAAGTGTGTCCCTCCCACTCACTCCTGCCCCATCATCTTGATGGTGTTAGAATAACATTTTCTAAACTTTGGCTGGGAGCCCTCAGATATCACCATCACCTGGGGCTGCTTGTCAAAAATGTAGAATCTTGGGGCACCTGGGTGGCTCAGTTGGTAAAGTGGCCACTTTCAGTTCAGGTCATGATCTCAGGGTCCTGGGATGGAGCCCTACATCAGGCTTCCTGCTCGGCAGGGAGTCGCTTCTCCCTCTTTCTCATGCTCTCTCTCTCTCTTTCTCTCTCTCTCTCTTTCTTAAGCAAATAAATAGAATCATTTTAAAAATGCAGACTCGGATTTCACAGGTCTGGGATGAGGTTCAGGAATCTGCACTGTGTGTGATAAAAGTTCAAACCACCCTTTCTGAAGGTAGATTTTCGGTGGCTGCTCAATGAGCAATCTGTAACCTACAGAAAACACTAAAGTGGGGAAGAAATGCTTCATTGTGTTCCGCTCTCCAACCTTGTATTTCAGGATGCTTTAATCTAGCTAATATGCACAAAGGATGAAGCATGCATTTCACTAGCCCCCTGTGTATTCTGTTCTAATAACTAAGCAAAAAAAGCGTCCTTTTAAACAAGAATTTTGTAAAATGATCGAAAACGTTTTCTACCATTGAAATAGTTACAACTTAAAAGTGTATTCATGGTATTATTCCATTAATATTTTAAGGATGTATATATACACTTGCATGTGGATACGAATTCTTGAATAATGGACAGAAACTTTTAATCTCAGTCATGATGGATAAGTGGTTCTTGGAAGGGGAGGCCAAAGATACTTTTACTTTTCATTTAACATCCTTGAATTGTTTGAATTTTTTGCTACATATATTATTTTTTTTAAGGTTTTATTTATTCACGAGACACACAGAGAGAGAGAGAGGGAGAAAGGCAGAGACACAGGCCGAGGGAGAGGCAGGCTCCTGCGGGGAGCCCGACCTGGGACTCGTCCCCGGGACCCCAGGATCAGGCCCGGCCAAGGAGGCGCTAAGCCGCGGGCCACCCGGGCGGCCCTAAGGATTACACGCATAGTCTACACTGTTTCATTGATTCTAATTGGTCTTTGTTCACGTTTGAGCAATCCTGAATCGGAGACGTTTTAGGACCACGGCCGCCACAGTCCGGCAGCAGCTCTGTGCATATGAATTTCAGTGAGTCTTAAAATCGATGGCACTTTGGGACCGGGGAAAAGGTACAAGGGAGTGAGGCGACGCCTGCTGTCGGGGTTCGCGTCCGCTCTCGGGCGCTGCGGTCGGGGAAGTGGGTAGGAAGGGCTGCAGCGTCGTGGGCCCGGCCCGAGGGATACTCCGGGCAGCTTCCACCACGAGGCCCCGCGCCCCAGGCCGCCGGGAGGCGCGCTCTGCTGTGGCGGAGCCGGAACCGAACCTGCCCTGCGACTGTCACCTACGGGTCATGGCCCCGGGGCGCCGCAGGCCGCCGGGCCGGGAAGGGCTGCGGGGGAGCCTCCCCGGGAACGGCGGTTGAGGGGTCGCCACACGCTCGGGGCCCCCGCCCGCTGCCCCTGCTCGGCCAGCGCGGACCACGGCCCGGGCCTCGGGCCTGCTGCCGGGTCCCCGCAGCCCTGGCGCCGCGGGAGGGGCCGCGCAGGTGCTGCGGAGGGCGAGCCGGGGAGGGAGCGGCCAGGGGCCTGCAGCGAGGGGCGGGGGCGGGGGCGGGGGAGGGGCCGCGCAGGTGCTGCGGGGGGGAGGGGCGGGGGGAGCAGAGGTGGGGGTGCCGAGGGCGGGGAGCAGGGGGCCGTGGAGCGAGGGGCAGGGGCGGGGGAGGGGCCGCGCAGGTGCTGCGGGGGGGGCGGGGGGAGCAGAGGTTGGGGGGCCGAGGGCGAGGAACAGGGGGGCGTGGAGCGAGGGTAGGGGCGGGGAGGGGCCGCGCAGGTGCTGCGGGGGGTGGGTGGGGAGAAGCGGGGAGGCCGGGGACGGCGGTCTGGGCGGGGAGCCGAGGGCGGCCGCCGTGGGAGGGGCTGCGAAGGCCGCGCAGGTGCTGCGGGGGGCGGGGCGGGGCCGGGGAAGCAGGGGCGGGGGCGGCCGCCGCGGGAGGGGCGGGGCCGGGGACGCCCTTGGGATCCCCCCGCCGCCGAGCAGCGCGCCCCCCGGCGGCAAAGTTTCACCGACGAGCGGAGACCTCCGCGGACGGGCGGCTCCTCCTCCCGGCCCTGCTCCCTGGAGGGCGCAGCCTGTTCGCTCTCGCTACAGTGAAAAGAACACGAGTCACTTCGAAGCTTCCCGCTGGCCTCTCCCGACCTGGGCGGCGGGCGGGAAGGGCCGGGGGCGCCTGGGTGCGCGGAGCCCCGCCACGGAGGCTGTGCTCCCGGGGGCGCAGAGGTGCCGCGAGCGGCCGCCGAAGCCCGTCCGAGGCCCCGAACTCCGCCGGCCACGGGCGCTCGGAGGGAAACGGTCGCGTTGGGATTCTCCCGCCGGGCAGGGGCGAGGGGGCGGGGGCGGGGCGCGCCGCGCGGGTGGGAGCGGGGCTGGGGGCGCAGACCGGGGACAGGGGACGTGGAGCAGGGGCGAGGGGGCGGGGGCGCGCCGGGAGGGGGCGGGGCGGCGGCGGGGCTCGGGGTCCGTCCCGGCTCCCGCCGCCGGGCTCCGCGCGCCCCGCCCCCGCCCCCGCCCCCGCCCCCGCGCCCCGCCCCGCCGCCCGCGTCCTCGGGGAGCCGCCGCCGCCCGGCCGCCCGCAGAGTCGCCGCCCGCCGCCCGCCGAGCGTTCCCGGCCCCGCGTGGAGCGCCCCGCGGCCCGCAGTGTGCGGCAGCCGGAGCCCGCGGCCGCAGGGAGGGCGCGCAGCCGAGCCGAGGGGCGCCGACGCCGGGACAATGGGGCCGGGGAGGCTGCTGCTGCTGGTCGCCGCGGGACTCGGTCTGTGCGGCCCCCTGCTGTCCGCGCGCGTCCGCGGCCGCCAGCCGGGTGAGAGCCGGGCCCCGCGGGGGGGGCGGGGGGCGCCCTGCCTGGGCCGCAGGAGCCCCGCGCGGGAGCTGCCGTCCCGGGCGCCCTTGCTCCGCGGCCGCGCGGCCCTGCGCCTCCGGGCCCTCGTGCCAGGACCGCCCGGGGGAGTCCGCGGTCCACGCCGCTCCGCCGCTCCTGGCGCGTTCAATACACAGCGGAGAGGCGCCCCCGATAAAGTTTTCTTTTGTTGGAAAATGGCTTTTCTTGCACGTTTTACACGTGGGGAGAGCAAAGCGCACCGGCGGCGGCAGCCGGGGCGCGGGGAGGCCGGGACGGGAGCCCGCAGCAGCCCCGACCTCCCGAGCGCGCCGAGGCCGGGGGCGTCCCCAGGGGCGGCTCCGGGGTCTCACTGCCGCCCTTCGGGCCGCTGCCAGGGGGGCTGCCCACCCACGACACGAGTCCCACCCACTGCGTGTCTCCAAGGGTCTGGCTACCTGACCAAGTACATGTGTTTTCCAACCCCCACCCCCCCCCAAAAAAAAGCAGGACAGTTGTTGTTTTTAACTGGTAAAGGGCATTTTAACTGGTAAAAAAAAGTTGTTTTTAACAGGTAACTGGTTTTTAACAGAACCCAAGGGAAAAAACTTTTCAGTGTCTTTATAGTGATAGTACTTTTTCTTATGGGTGACAGATTGTGTCCTTTATGCCGTTTTCACACTGGAACTAGAGTAGTTGCATTAAGAATAAAAGGTGACAAAGGTAGAGTTTTCTCTCCATCAGACTGAGTTCTGCTCTGGTGCTTTTGGGCAAAGCACAAGCTCCACGCAGGAGCCGGCTCTGCAGCAGCCCCGGGGGCTGCGGAGAACATCCGCATGGTCTCCTGGTGTCTGAAGACGCCTGCAGAATCCTGGGAACTGTACGGTGTTATGTGCTCTGTGATGTGACTTTGTACTTTTATTTGGGAACAAGCTCTTGAGAATACAAATTGTTGTATGAGATTTGGATGGTGAGGTCAGGAATAAGTTTATACCGGCACAAATCCTCTGAAGTCACCCTTCCTCAAGTGGCCCCCAAGACCTTGGCGCCTGTGGGGGGTACGGTGAAGTCCACAGTGTTTGTGCTCGGCTTTCTTGCTTGTGAACTGAGAAGGGGCACGCTAAGCTGGACATGCTAGCGTAGACAGATAACCCAACAGAGATTGGCTAGCTTATCTACACTGGATTCTGGAACCACTTTGGGAGGGAAAGAAGAAAGGAGGGTGAGAGAAGAAAAAGAGCCGGAGCTGAGTCCTCTTCGGGGGCAGGCCCTGGGCCCCGAGGCATTTGTGCTTGGATCACCTGAGAGTCTCCCCCTCTCAGAAGACACTGCTAAGGCTGGTGGGCATCCCCCTGAAACCAGGGCTCAGAGACAGTATAGCAAAGCTCCAGATGGAGGAGGGGGCCCTGTGTGCAAGAAATAAGTGTCTCCAGAGTTGAAATCACTCATAAGATCAACTAAAAATAGGTCTGCTTTGTCTTATCACGACCCACCGGCAGTTCTAAAAAGGGTATCTGCCCTCAGCAGCTTTACGTGATGGGAGGAAGACTAAAACCCCAGGCCCTGGAAAGCCCTCTGGGCTGGCCCTGCCCACCAGTTTCAGCTTTCCTGAAGCTCTGGGCCTTTTGTACCCGCTCGTTTTGGCATTTGCTGCACTGTCACTATGTGGGTATCTCATCTCCCCGGCCAAGATTATAGGCTTCCGTTTATGCCCAGGAAGTCTAGAACCAGGGTCTGCTCGGCAAATGTTTATTGAGAAATTCGTAAGTTCATTACCCAATTTACTTCCCTTTCTCTTGGGTAATTTAAGTGAGATCAAAGAGGCCCAGCATCCAAGAGGTGACGCTTATCAATTTTATAAGGATCTGCACGAAGGATGGAAGGGTTCAAGAATCGCTGATACTGTGGCAGAGGGGATTGGCTGGGAGAAGCCACGTGCTGCACGGCTGCCCACAGGCTCAAGCCCATTTACTCAGCATAGAAGGAGGTGCCCCTCCCCTTGCAGGATGGGTCCGGAGCCTCTATGCAGCCGCCTCTGTTATGTAACCTGTGAGATTACCCATGTTCCACCCAGCCCTACCCTCCAGTCCCTCCTCCCGGGAGCTAGGCTTTCTCTGGCCTCTGCCCCCTGCCATGCCCTCTGGCCAAAATGCCCTCCCTTACCCTCCACATGTTCACATTTAAATAAAAACAGCCACTCTAGGACACCTGGGTGGCTCAGTGGTTGAGCATTGGCCTTTGGCTCAGGTTGGGATCCTGGGGTCCCGGGATCAAGTCCCGCATCGGGCTTCCCGCATGGAGCCTGATTCTCCCTCTGCCTGTGTCTCTGCCTCTCTCTCTGTCTCTCATGAATAAATAAATAAAATCCCAGCCACTCTATATCAAGCACCTACTACATCAGCATCCTTTTTAGGTATTTTACATATACTGTCTTGTTTATTCCTCTCAATCTTTTGAGTATGTGGTATCCCCATTTTACACGTAAGTAAACAGTCTCAAATGGTTAAGTCACAAGTCTGGCAAGAAGTGGAACTCCTGTTTGACCATAGGCCTGTCTTTCCTCATTACAGGGTTTCTCTATCCACCTCGATAGAGAGGAAACCATCCAGACCCCCAGCAGTAGAGAAGAGTAACTCTCCCGTGCTCCCCAGAACCCCTAGAGGGCAAAGTCTGCACCCCATTGATCTGTAGCCCAGGCCTAGCACATGGAGGTGATCAGTGAACATTGATGCTTGGGTTGTACCCTGCCATTTACTTTTGCAAACACAGGATAAGGCAGGCTATAAATGGATCCCTCCTCATGAATATGCTAATTAATTGGCTATTACTGAGACTGTGGTCTTAAGCCTAAACAAAAGACACAAAACAGGACAATGATTGGGCCCTAAGCAGACCAGAAACCTGTATAAAGCCCAAAGCCAAATTGCATATGACACAGCAAGAAGTACATCTCTACTCTGGTATCTATCTGAATGAATTTCTTCTCTCTCCCTCCCTCATTCTTTCATTTTTTTCATTCCCTGGTGCCTTTGACTTTACTTCTGTAGGACAAATGAAGATAGTAGGTTCCTCCTTAAATTGGTCCGCCCTTCCTTTGTGTGAGAGAGTGTTTTGAGGCAAGGGGGCCCTTTCTCAGGAATACCTCAAGCCTCTCTGCTGGATGCCTTTCCTCCCCTCTCTCCATCTTTTTTTTTTTTTTTTTTTTTTTTTTTTTTTTTTACTTAGGATAGTCACAGAGAGAGAGAGAGAGGCAGAGACACAGGCAGAGGGAGAAGCAGGCTCCATGCACCGGGAGCCTGACGTGGGATTCGATCCCGGGTCTCCAGGATCGCGCCCTGGGCCAAAGGCAGGCGCCAAACCGCTGCGCCACCCAGGGATCCCTCTCTCCATCTTTCTAATTCAGCATCTCTCTGCCCTTCATTCTGAGTGGATCTGTGTGCTACGAACCCTAACTTGTACTTTCTCAGCAGCTCTGAAGTTGCTCCTCTTCCAAAAGGCTTCTGGCCTGTCTTTGTCCCCCTGTGCTTTCTACCCCTTCCCCTCCCTCAGGCATTAACCTCTGTCCTTGTCATCCTCACACACTGGAACTGGGGGGGGCGGGGGGGTGTTGGGCTGAGTGGAGTTCCACAGGACAGGGGAGTCCCCTCCTCTCCTCTGTTGAGACATCCCTCTTTTCCCTCAGAACTCCTTCCTTTCCTATATTTTTAAGATGGTGTAAAACTTACATAGTATTAAATGAACCATCGTAAAGTGTACAGTTTGATGCACTTACAATATTGTGTAATCACCACCTCTGTCTAATTCCAAAATATTTCCATCACCCCAAAACAAGCCCTGTACCCCTTAAGCACTTGATCCGCAGTCTCTGACAACCACAGATTTGCTTTGTTGACCTGTGTGAGCTTACCTCCTCTGCATCCGCAGGCAGCCTGCGTATGAGACATGCCCTTGGGTGCTTGAGGACTCCTCTTTCAGAGTTTTCAGGAGTGCGGGCCGGGCCGCCCCCTGTGCTATGAATGCTTCGAAAAACACTCTGGAAGAGTCATTATTGAACCACAGCATAGGCTTATTTTTTACCTAATGCTGGTTATTGGGGGGCTCCACAGTTTCAACATTCAGAGTTTTCCATCTGTTTTTCTGGTTTGAGATTTCTTTCATTCCGCCTTTTGCCCTCTCTTGCCTGAGCCTGAAACTGTCAGGGCAAGAGCTCTCTCTCTACGCCCAGATTGTTTTTTCTGGGTAGGAGCTTCCACTTCCTCCAAACACTCTTCCACGCTGACCTTGTGTGGGTTTTGCAGAAAGCCCTGAAGTCACAGCCTTCCTCCTCGTCCCAGGGCATCCAAAGAAGTTCTGTCATGGAGGAGGACTTAGTCCTTTAGGCACTTTTTATGTTCAAAACAATCTACCCAAGGGGAGGTGGGTGGGGGGTGGGAGTGACTGGGTGACGGGCACTGAGCCTGAGCCTGCTTCTCCCTCTGCCTGTGTCTCTGCCTCTCTTTCTCTCTCTCTCTCTCTCTCTCTCTCTCTGTGTGTGTCTCATGAACAAATCTTTTAAAAAAGCTTGTTAAACCCTGTAAGTTGATGTCATAACCATATCAAGTCTCTACCATCACTTAAAACCTAGTGTAGCAGACGCAGCAAGCTGTCCCACGTTAGCGGAATTGACTCCGCCTTTTCGCTTTACAAGAAGAGCTTGCCTTCCAGGAAGTGCCATTTGCGATAGTTTTTCTCACAACCAGGATCTTCTTTGTTTGAGTTCAGATTTACAGACCACGTAGGACGCGGGCGGGGTTAGGGACAGAGACAGCTTGGTACTGGGAGGAATCGCTGATCATTATTAACATCCTTTATCGTGAACTAGTTTTCATTTTAGCTTTTTGTTTCTAAGAGCAACAGCCCCAGGACGCGGAGCTCAGGGCCTGTGACTTCTGGTGCAAAACAGGCTGCAAGACTGGGAAAAGCCGGGGGTCAGGATAGCTCCCGCG